CTCTCTCACTCTCTCTCTTTCTCAGGGTTGATTGTTTATCACTTGAAATATATACCAAGCCTTAGAGATGGGATATATGTCTTGGAATTACTCACCACGGCTTCACAGAGTAAATCTCCATTTTTCCAGTCCCAAACAGTCAGAATCTTTCCGGGCGAGTCATCAACAGCCAGAACTCGCCCCCCACCATCCTATAGAAAACATAAACTTTTATTTAACTCTACTTCAGACATTTTTACAGTTGTAAGCCAATGAATGATCAATATATAGGTTTTGTGTAAAATTTGAAAAACTGATGTTTTTGGCCAAGAATATACAGACATACCCATTACTAGCTGCTCAATGATTATGTCTACCTGTACATTTGACATGTTGGAATGCACGGTATAACAGGTTTTATTTGCCGCCATCAACAGTCAAAGTCACGTGAAGTGACAAGTCATCCGTGAGTCGAAGCTAGCAACCAAACAACACGAAAATGGCGGCAGAACAAGCCACGGCGACCTCCACCACGCCTGCACACCCCGGTAGTGACGGTACTGGGGACTGGGTCCGTCTGAACGTGGGCGGGACGGTGTTCGAGACCACCCGGACCACCCTGACCCGGCTCAACAGCCAGTTTCTGGACAGACTGGTGGCCGAGGACTCGGGCTTTCCCCCACCTGCTGACGGAGTCTACAGGATAGACAGGGACCCGGAGGTGTTCAGGGTTCTCCTCAACTTCGCCAGGTAGCCCTGCCTTGTATCCAGAACCATGTTCAAAGACAGTCCTGGAAGGTTTCTGGATAGTCAGCGCGTATCCAGAACCATGCCTAGGGCAAATCTAAGTTCTTGGATGCGCGGAGACTATCCAGAACCGTGCATGAGCCTAACCCTAATCCATTCAGGCATAGGACTAGATAGGCGCTTTTCTAGATGCAGCGGGGCGTGACCATTAACCACCTGTATGTGATTTTGCCCATGGCAGTTCCTGATCTGAACATCTTGTTCTTTAAGTACGATTTTGAATTGCTTTGGAATGCAATCTAACTAGCTGACCTAGTGTTTAACACAACTGCCGACACTAGCACCGTTACAATGTTAGAAGGTACACAGAGCCCTCCCCATGCCACGTAGACACTGTGACACTAACACTACTTACTGAAGGGATTGTAATGCAAGTGTAGTTATTTACGTGCGTCATGGAGGTACTTTAGATGTTGTTTGTGAGTTTGCTACCTTTTTTGTCACATACTGATAATCATAATTAATGACACTCAAACGACAGGAATACACCGATACATAACCTGTACTAACCGTACAGAACTGTAACCCCTAGCTATTACATTTGGAAGTGCAGTTGCCAAGTCTGTAGCTTTTGTTGTGAACCACCTATGCAGGAATGGTCGCCTTCTCCTGTCACCACAAGTGACGTCAGAGATGGTCCTAGCGGATGCAGACTTCTACGTGCTCCGGCAGGGGGCGCTGCAAGCGTTAGAGGGACTGGACAAGGAGGAGGCGAAGTCAAGCTCGGCTCCAGGCCAAGGCAAACGAAACAACGTGCCTGCAACAATTTCGATTCAATGCCAGGGGGCGGGGCACCACAATGGTCTGTCTTCAGTTCGTTTGTCTGGCCGTGAGAAAACAATGTGTGTTATTGACGCGTGCAAAACAAAAGTGTCTGAAGACGACATAGACAGGTTTAGACAGACGTGTATCTCTTGCCGTCGCACCGTTACGGTAAAAAGAACCGGCAGGTTTGGCAATGATCCCGGTGAAATTGTGGCTGTAGAGTGGTGCCACAGGTGCCTGCGTTGTCTCGATTGTCAGGAAATCGTCTGTCTTCCGTAAGAAAAAATATGAGGCCACAGCAAGTAATCTTTATGGATGTGATGTTTCCATCGAATCAAAACCATTTGTACAATGATTGAAACTTGAATTTTGAAGTTGTTTCAGTACGAAATGGATGTTAGCACAATGTAAGTATTATTTCCCAGCTGTTAAACAAGTTTTATGATGTCAGAATTTGAAAATGTAGGAATCTTGTTTTTTTGGCCAGCCTTGTTTGGTTTTCGCCCTATCGCATTAGATTTTGAGTGTGCGGAGAATCTCGTCCATAAAATTTCGATGCTGTGGCCTAGCTAAGTGGCATGTGGCACTAAAAAGGGATACCGGCTTTAGAAATTAAATGGTCTCTTAGTTATAATGAGTTTACGCTTTACGAACATTTCAAAGAATACGTATCATACATATGGATCATACTTGGATTAATGAAATATACCCGGCCATGCATATACATGCGATATGACATGCATGTACGGTGTGTGAGCTTCGTGGGTCTTTAGGACCGTTTGAACAAGCTACAGCCTTATTTGTGATCATATTACTTGGAACGATTCATCTTGCACCCCTCACCTCTTTATGATTGTATAAACAGTTACAATTCACTAAAAATAATACAATCGGGCAGATTTAATTTCCAGAGACCTGTTGTCATTGGTGTATCAGAATAAGTGCTTGACTAAAACAATGTGAACATCATGTATTGTATAATTTAACAGGCTAAGAATGATGGAGAAAATGAAAACATTTGTCTAACCATGTGACAGTATACAATATTTTTAGAGTTATGAATTTCATTGTTAATGTTATGTACGTTTGTATAATAGCTAAACAATTACTAAATAAACACGAATTATTACGTTCTGCGAATTGCGTTGTGTATATTTTAGGCCCGATGAATGTTCGTTGTTTGAGGTTTCATTTGCCCGATCAAGTTAACAGTCAAAGTCTGACATACACCAACAATTTAACAATTCCGCCCACGGAATGCAACCTTCTCTCGGCGGCTGGTTGTAGTATAACGAGTTAAAAACTCACAGATCGCTGTATCAAAATTCCCACCCGCCCCGGAGCCTGTACAGGAGGCTATATAATAGTACGGTGTCATCTGTGGAGCTAGCAGGAAATCAAAATGGCGGCAGAACAAGCCACGGCGACCTCCACCACGTCTGCACTGAGCCCCGTGTGTGACCTTACGGGGGACTGGGTGCGTCTGAATGTCGGCGGGACGGTGTTCGAGACCACCCGGACCACCCTGGCCCGACTCAACAGCCAGTTTCTGGACAGGCTGCTGGCCGAGGACTCGGGCTTTCCCCCGCCTGCTGACGGAGTCTACAGGATAGACAGGGACCCGGAGGTGTTCAGGGTTCTCCTCAACTTCGCCAGGTAGCGGTAAAGGATAAGCAAAACCTCTACGTGCAAGTTCGCCAAACGTCTGAACAGTAATTTGAATGTTCGCCTTTCACTGTAGTATTATTATGGGTTCACCACACCACGAAGTGGTGGTGAACCCATATTGCTTTTTATGGGTTCACCACACCACGAAGTGGTGTGGTGAAACCATATTGCTTTTTCTGATGTTTCTTCTTCTCCTTCTCCTCCTGCCATTTCTTTAAATGGATTCAGCTTCTTCATTTTAGGGCCTAAGGTCCTGAAATTTGGTATGGAGGTACAGTGGGCAAATACCCCTAGGCGTTTTTTAAATTTTTGTGATACAAGCTTTTACAATCGTTTTATTTGCTTTTTTAGCGGTCCCCATAGGAAAGTACTGTGCGGGGGCGTACGCGCGTGACGTAATAAGAAAGAAATTCGGCGGCATGCCCATATATGGGCATGCAAGCATGAACCTGACGCAGCCTAATCTTTTCTTCTTGCTGATTGGCTGTTGGATTTGATTGGATTAACTCAATTAACACCTGTTCAAAGCCATTCCATTTTGACAGTATGAACTCAAGTGTTTTGGTAGGTACAGCACAGGCCACGAAATACGCATCAATTTTCGAGGGACGTTCTGCGGGAG